TTATTATTATATTATTATTATATTATTATTATATTATTATTATATTATTATTATATTATTATTATATTATTATTATATTATTATTATATTATTATTATTATTATTATATTATTATTATATTATTATTATATTATTATTATTATTATCAATAATATTATTATTGATAGGATTATTATTATTAGTATTCTCGAATTTTTGGTTCAGATTTATTTGAAAACCCAAACTTATCGACGTCTACTTCCGGTGGTAGTGTATGTGAATGTATGTATATGAATCCTATGTTCAGTCTCTATATTCATTGCTGATAATTCTTGAAGAGTAGGTATTGTGAATGTAAGAAACCTCTGTGAGTAAGGTTTGCTCTGTATTTTGAGCCTCTCTCTTTCCTTCTTTTATCTCGCTTCATCTATGCCTTCTTATCATTTATTTCGGGAAGAATTGCCGAAATAATTGCCCATAAGCCTTATCCATATTCTTGTGAATTCATAGAAAAACTGGAAGATGATTTTTGGGTATTTTTGGTCGTAGATAAGATAAGTATGAATATCGAGTATCCTTGCGGGCGGTTTTGAGTGATGACTCAAACTTAAGTTTAGTGATAAGTTTACCAAAAGGCAAGAGAACGAAATTTCCTATTGAAAGATTTGGAGTTGGTGAAGGGCGAATGGAGTGTTAATGTGTGTTTGTGTCATAAAGCCAGAAATGAGGGACAAACCATTGTTGTGAATGAGATTCGATGATTTGAAAAGCGTTTGATTGCGACGATAGGCTTAAAATAATGATTTAAGTGGAAAAACGGGTGTGAAATGGCGACGACGAACCGTTTGAAAACATAGTTTTCATTTTTTGAGATGAAGTTATTCTTAATACACACAAATTATTTGCTTTTGAATTGTGTGTCTAATCCCGAATTTGATTTTGATTCAAAATGTCAAATGTGTTTGTCGATTCGATTCAGTCATTATTTATATGGAGTGTTGTTTATTTCATTGTTTTTACCAATTATTTTTGATATGATTTCGTGTTTTTGATATTTTTCAGCTATTCATTCATCGTATTAACAGTAATTTGAGTTAGTATATTAACGTGATCATTACAATTTTCTGTTCGATGTGTTCTGTATGCATCATTTATTTCTCTGAATGTGACGTTATCTTCATTTCGTGTGATTTTTTGTTTGATTTTTTGCATAATGTGACCACATTCTTGTCCAGGCAATCGTCATTAGCCAAACGGTTGTAAAAACAATGTCATTTGCAAATGATCACATGAATTGTTAGTATTTGATGGATTGTTTTGGGAGGAGGGTATGGTGGATTTAATTTTACGGCGCGTGGTTCGGGGTGAAATGGGGGAGGATTAATTGCTGATATGAAGATATCGTTGATATTTTGAAATAGTTACTGTCTTTGATGAATGTTGCCAGTGGTAATCATCGAACAGTGATAGATGGATGTACTGTGCAAATTTGTTGAT